GGCCATCCTGGCTCGCCATCGACCAATCCGGACCTATACTGAAGGATAAATTCTCAATTTCAACGCATTCAAGATTCTCTTGCTTCTACTCTCCACTACAGATCGTTCCGCAGCTAAGCCATACCACTACGGCGCTCATAGCACCACTTTGATCCCGGGGTTTGCCTTCAAGGGAAGGCGTGATTGTCCTGCTACGATCAATTATAAAGTCCTAATACGGCAGTTGCACTACCTTCTACGGAACTTCATTCGCACATGTTCTTACATGACGCTTAATCGATTGATTAACTTTTCGCATCTTCCAAAAGGAAAACACAAATTTTCTCTTACCGCTCGGAGGCAGAACTCGCGTCCACGCTGATATCTTTGGAATATGAAAGTAGAGGTAACTACCATGTGGTGCGTCAAAAACAACAAAAAAACCCGAGAGAAACGGCACCTTCTTCCCCCCCCCTCCCCGTCGAGTTCAGATTTGGGCGAGTTAGCCATGGGTCTTACCACTTCGGCGGCCGTTGCATTCCATTCCTAATCATACTGGGGGCTAAAGGACGAAGCATTCGGCGCAGATCAGTCGCGTTTCGGGATGCGCCACGCATTCTACTTTCATTCAGAATCGTAGTGGCAAATTTGAGTGCCGTTGAGCTTCTATTATATATAATGACTTGCAGGAACCATCTCATGTACAAGTGTTTTTATCCTATCAGACAAGTCTGGCACCCGAAGGGATGGAAGGCTTGATTGGGCCAGCGACGTACGATCCAAGATTTGGTCCCCAGACCGCCCTGCGTGAGTTGCCACCATGTGAACAACTTTCCGCCCGCCACATCTTGTATATCCTTCTATTTTATAAAGCGCTAACTTTGTGTGTCGGTTTGTATGTCTGTATGTATGTGTGTATGTATGTATGTATGTATGTATGTATGTATGTATGTATGTATGTATGTATATGTATGTATGTATGTATGTGTATGTATGTATGTATGTATGTGTGTCCGTCCGCAAAATGAAGTGAGTGAGAAGGAAGCTCATGGGATAAACAAACCGCTAACAAATCGGGTAGCTTACAGGATTTGAGATATCAATGTTTTGTAGCAGGATAGTTGTGATAACACTCTTAGGGCTATATAAACACCTGCTTAGCACACTTCCGTTCATTCCACATGGTGCTGCAGTGGCAGCTGGAGGGCAGTGGAGAGAGGAAGGGAGGATGAGGAAGGGAAGCGAAAAATCTACCGTCATATCATGATTGTGTCCCTTCTACTGTATGAAACACCATTGTGTTGCATACGCGTCACTTCCAGGAGGTGTTGGTGTCACAGGAGGAAGGGACCATAGCGGAGGATAGAAAGCTTGCGCAGGAAAGGAAGTGTTGGAACTTCGGGGACATTTTTGTAAATTTGCCGAAAGGCGATTTCTGCCGCAGTAGCGCTAATCGTCTGATTCAAGTTCCCCGCTATGCATCCTCTTCAATTTTTATGCGATTCTGTATGCATGCTTGGAGCAAAAAGTCGAATTGGACACTTACTTTACGTTCAAGATTTTTCTTTCTTTAGAAACAGAATGTTCTCAGCGTTATTTCTTATTCTTCAGGCGATGCTGCTCCATGAAGTTGTAGAGGTAACGATGCTCTTTGTGAGGTGATATACAGGGTGGCCAAAAAAAAAGAGACACTTTGCCCACGGCGGCACATCATCGAACTTTTCGGGGGTGCCGACGTAACTGAAAGTCTTGCGGCGGAATATTCCTTAGGTGTTCCCCCGTAAGCAGAAGCAGGCCCTCCTTCACTGCTCCCGCCAACAACTTGTCCCGTCTTGGAATATGACGTCATCTGCCGCCACCGTCGAGCTCAACGAGGCTTACCGTAATCGCTCCGGCCTGAAGCTGCTTCATAATTTCTTCAATGGATTAACTGTTGAATAGCTTCCCAGACATTAGCTGTGACTATGCAAAACCGCTTTTGACCAGCGTTTCAGGGACGTCGTAATGGTCTATGGTACCTCGACGACCTCGTTGAGCTCGTACCGCGAACCATGTTTCCGTGGGAAAATCTTCTGATGTCGTCGGTGTAGAAGGCTGTCATGTAACTTTTAGATAGATTAGAATGTGCTCTTCAATACTAAGTTGGGGTCAGTCGATTTGATTCTAGCAAAGTGCGATTAATGCTGTCTGAAATGTGGACTGGAGTATCGCTTTTTTTGGCCACCCCTGTATAGTTAATAACTTTTACACCACACATATTTTTGAGAAAATAGACTAAATTCAGGTCTCACCGGTATAAGGAGTAGAAATACGACAGAGTAGATAATGTCTACTATCGCAGTGATCAGAAAGAAGTACTTGTAAGACCCTATATTTTTCAAAGGGCATAGAAAATATACAATGAGAAGAAGTATGTTGTTGAAGAGCGCTACCGTAGAAAGGGTATAGGCAGGAATTGGCAGCGCATCGGTTTCAACCATGTTCATTTCATATAGTGAGGAGACCGTAGAGTTTCATCCTTCGAAAACGTGGGTGAGTAGACGTAATTACTGTTATTGGAGACGAGCCACGTGGTAATGTAAGATTACAGTCCGGTAACGTTTAGCGGAAACATCATACCGACTCGTTCTTCATATAAAAGTTGTTTTTGCAGATTTTTGAAGATTTTCTGTTTTGCTGTGGAACGTCGAACAAAGGAATCGAAGAGATGGGCACGGAGCCGGATGCCCTTCGTCTCTTTCACTACTCCCTCGATGTTTCTTGAACGCTCCCCATGCCACTCGCTTTCCTCGCCTCAGCTCTGGTTCAGCTAGAGATTAAAGCCTTTACCACAGGCGCAGTCGAAATCAGCCAGCATTCGCTCCGCTTGCTCGATGTTCGGCGTTATAAGAACGATGTCGTCAGCAAAACGAAGGTGGTGTAGTTGCCGGCCGTCGACCTTCACTCCCATGTCTTCCCATTCCAGTTGACGCATGACGTTCTCGAGAGCGGCGCTGAAGAGTTTGGGCGAGATGGTGTCGCCCTGTCGAACCCCTCTCTTGACGTCGATGATGACCTCCTTGTAGAATGGTGAGATTCTGGTCGTAAAGGCTGTAGAGCTCACGAAGAATCTTGATGTACTGAGTAGGGACGCCCTGGTTGCCCAAGGCTTCGATGACCGCTTCTGTCTCCACAGAGTCGAAGGCCTTCTTCAAGTCGATGAACGTGAGACAAAGCGGCATCTTGTACTCTCGTGAAACTTCAATGAGTCTCGTAACCGTGTGGATATGGTCGATCGTGCTGAACCCTCTTCGGAACCCTGCTTGCTCGCATGGCTGTCCTTCATCTAGTATTCTGCCGATCCTGTTAAGGACTCGAGGGCGTATGATATTGCAAATTGAGCCTGATCGTGAAAATGGTTAAGAGGGGGAAGGGATCTATGGGAGATGATGTCGACAACTTATGTTCTCCATGAAACTTCTCACCTCCCGTGGGGTTGATCTTAGTGTCACCTACCATCTGCCCTGATCCTCTGTAAGGCCATGAGCGCCTACTTCTAGTTTGTTTCCAACAAGGTGTGCAAAGCATCCAGAGGTGATACGGAACCCCGGGTTATATCTAGACTATAATTAATGTTATGACCATTCCAGGAAATTCGCCTTGACAGGGCTGAGGCTGCGTCCAAAAAGCAGAATTACGAGAAGGCGCCGAGAGCGTGCGTCTGAAAGCTTCTTACGTTTAGAATAAACACCAACAAGAACTGGTCAACACCATCCTGAAAGGAACAGTGAGACATACTTTACCTCGCCTTCAAATGACCAGAAATTGTGCAATTGCAGAAATTGACGTGGCATTAACGTGGCATCGATTCAAGAACATCTTTGAGCACACGTGATGTCACCTTTTCATCGAGAATTTAGCCACGTGTGCCAATGCCACGTCAATTGGTCATTTGAAGGCGAGGGTATGTACCATTGGCACAAACAATTGCATAGGGCTGTCCTCAACAGTTTTCAAATCGATGTGATCAAACGTTTTTCTAGTTTGTCAGTTTCACGAACAACTAATCTCATCATAGTAGAAAATATTCCGTGTTGCCCATTGCGAAATTCGAAGCGGCGAGTCGACCTCGGTGCGATGTACGAATGTGTTCGGCGGTCTCGCATGTTATTTGACGGTGCCAGGATTACGGTAGCCCGTCGGTTGCATCCCGATGTTAGATTCTTGTTGTGCGGCTCTGTTGGGCGAACACGAAGAAAGAAACAAGATCATACTTCGATGGACATCTTTACTTGATTAACCCACTGCGGACCGCCTGCTGCACCCTGTGCAGCACGCCACCACACGAAGGAGGATCCGAATCTTGCTTCATTGACCATTTTTCTAAGAACATATTCATCAGTAAGCTTTTTCACACAGCATTTAGTACACAGTTGGATTCTAGTGAAATTACGCTAGATTATGGGTTACTGACAAAGTAGACGGTGAAAACCTATGGAGGTGCACACATAACAGCGGTCCGCAATGGGCTAGGATCGATCAAATATCTCTACGCAGTAGAATCCTGAAAAAAAAGATGGTTTCACTGGTCTACGCTGCACTGGTTTCGGTCTACATACCCACCCCAAATGCTCCTCCGATTGCTAATGGCTGTAGAAGAGGTGGCAAATTCTTTTTGCATACGTAAATACCGAGCAGTTCGCCTCTCAAATGTTGGTGGGAATGGTCTTGTCACTTTTGTATTGAATTATAGCGAAATCAGAGAAACATGTCAAGATTGTACATCTTTCGCATTGTGTAGACCCCAGTACCCTTCCCTCCCCCTTCCCGTCCCCTCATCTTCTTGTACCTGTGCGATTGCCCAACTCGGATGGGGTTCCGTTTACAGAACGTTAAAACGTTGGGTGTAGTAGGAAACTTGCGCCGTCTTTGTATGTCAACCTAAATTGGTTCCAAAAAGGAAATGGTCCCCGGTATCAACGCTGGAATGAAAATTTTCTGTGATATTGCTTCGTGCTGATAAGGCTTGCTGAGTGGCCGTGATGATGCTGCCGTTGCTGTTGGTCGCCGTAGTCTCTACAACGGTTGTTGCTCAATGCCCGCTTGGAACGATTTCTCATCCGGAATTTGGACGGTTGGATGTTTATACTGTTTTTATTCGACTTGCAAGGAGACTGTAATTTGAAAATATCTAAATACAATAGCAAAAATATTGTTCCCATTGTAGGAGCTGTTAACCACTTACTGGGCTTTTTAAGTTCCTTTTATGAAATATTTTAAAATCATGTGGGAGAAGTCGCATCAAATTTGAGCATAACAGTCGCAAGCATGTCCACAACAGTGATCTGTGATTTCACTGTAGACGGCTGACTAAAAATTTGCGTGATTGTCTCTTCCTCAGTAATGCCACCTTCAATTACCTACCTATAATAATTAGCTCTTGCATAGGTAAAAAAAAACATAATAGGATTCATCTGTCTGCATTCGAAATCTTTATGAGTAAAACACCTTTTCATGACTCGGGGATCTCAACCCCCCAATTTAGTTAAGATTTTTGCTGCACGTTTAATGGCACTCATTGATGCGAAGGGAGGGAGTGGCAAGGACAAACAAACAAACAACAAACCTCGATCCTACACCTTATATTATAGTTATTGTTATTTATATATATCTGTTTAACTTACTGCACTCAGAGTATCATACTGAATGTCAAACATGCGAGCACCCGGGTATCAGCTCGGATACAAACGCACACCTATGTACATCTTGCTCGAGGACCTTCTGTAAGAGTAATTTTCCGCAGAAAAAGCGCTAGGACTCCAATAGGGTACACACCCTTGCTGTAGTGCAGGAAAATTTTGAGCTGAATATTGTGTCAGTATTGAAAGAAAACGAGTAAGTGGCATGACCAATTAGTATGAGGCGATTTTTGACAGAACCATTGATTTTTGGGAATTATCATAGATTCTTCCATTTTCTCCTCTGTAAAGCTATCTCCCAGAGCGCGTTTTGATCCCATGTGAAGTCAAGAACACCACTTGCCACTGGGAAATTCTCGTTCGAGTGAGGATACTTTCCTGAGTGAGATATTCACTGTTTGTAACAAATAGAATTTTCAACAATTATCTACTTGTCGGAGTGCATTGCAACCTACTTTTCGAGAATGAGGCAGCGATACACGAAGGAATCGAACAATCGAGAAAAACTGCAAGGTTGAAAGACTTATTCATTTATTTATTTAAATATTTATTCATTTATTTATCTATTTTTTGTTTTTTTAATCATGAAAAGGTGGACTTCCACATTGAGTAGAACTGGATGCCGCAAGTATATTGATGGTGAAAGATTTCATAAAGAGACTAATATTCTAACTTGTTTTCGGTTGTTAATTGCTGTTTTAATCGCAGTTCTCTAAAGTAAAAAAGTGCCAAAGTCATTGCAAGGAAGTCATTTTATTAAGCTACTATTATATTAGTTTTTTTAGTTAATACTATTGAGCTCGGTCATAAGGCAAAGCAATGCCTGCGCCTCGGTTCCCAATTCTCGCTTGGGCCGGTTTTAGACTTTGCGAATCTGGTATCGCTAGCGAGCCAGATACGAGCGTACGCCAGCGGTTAGAGCGAGGCATATACAATTCTACAATGCGGGAAAATGGCGAGAGTCCTTCCCACGCGCACGTTGACTCTCGCCATGTTTCCGAGCCGAAAGAGCATGAATGTGTGAGAGGGTATAAAAGCATGAGAAAATGGCGAGAATCCGCCCATCACCCACCAACCTCCTAACAAAGTGAGCCGTCAATGGATCGATTGCGAAGTTTTTCAGGTGTTACAAGTTTGTGAATGATCGCCAACCGTTCTACTTGGCTGAGGAGTCATGTCAGGCGATCGGTGGTCATTTGGTTTCCGTGGAAAACGGATTTGAAAACGCAATGTTGGCTGGTTCGTTTATGTTTTTTGTTGTTTTTGTTTGTTGTTTTATTGTTTTTTAGGTTCGGTTTGCTAAACACCGCCTTGGGAATTACGCTGTTTTTTTAGAAACATCCTCGTCACAGAACATTAACGGCCCATTTTTCATCGGATACAATCGCATGTTGACTAATGACTGGTCGTGGATTGATGGCTACAATGCGTCCACGTTCACAAGCTGGGGAGCCGGTATGTGCGCAAATTTGGTCGTTATTTTGTTAAAGACATTTTCTAAGTTTTCAAAAATAGAAGAAATATAACGACATCATTGCTGTTATCGTCTTCAATTGTGATGTTCACAGTTTACGGTGGGTAAGAGTCACCACTGAGGAATTATCTCAACTTGGCGATTAGAGGATATATTATAACGAGAACACATAAACTGTTCCCCACAACGAGACGTGTCGCAATTGCGGCTCAAAGGAATCCTTCCACGGACCATGGACCAGTGGGCGGGACCGGAAGTGGTTTTGCGACGAAATGCATGGTAGGTACGGATCCACGTTCATGGGAAGGTTTGAAGTGAATCCTGTTCACGTTCGTGCGTTCGACACGTGGATCCGTACCTACCATGCATTTCGTCACAAAAACTTCCGGTCCCGCCCACTGGTCCATGGTCCGTGGAAGATTCCTTTAAGTTATCAGAGAACGTTATGAACAATTCAATGGAACA